CCGCACTAAACCTTTTCATGTTTAGTTTCCTTGGGCTAGGATGCATCACCATGATGACTATAACTGCCGCCGTGACGACGCTAATAACTTCCCTGTAATCACAGGGATTGTTGGCCGAAGCCACAAATGTGTGGTTGGCCACTTGAGTGATCTCCTGTTTGTTTTTTATTCCATCGCTAGTTCCATTCTGTCTTGAACTTGGCTGCACCGTACTGATGAAGACCAATAGTCAGAAACACGTGTCTACGGTTTGCCCTTCAGGCTTTTTACTCTCTTTTTTTTGCGGTATTTCCCAATAACCCCTTTTTTCTGTTAATTCTTCAACGCACTAAACCTTTTTATGTTTAGTTTCCTTGGGCTAGGATGCATCACCATGATGGCTATAACTGCCGCCGTGGCGACGCTAATAACTTCCCTGTAATCACAGGGATTGTTGGCCGAAGCCACAAATGTGTGGTTGGCAACTTGATTGATCTCCTGTTTGTTTTTTATTCTATCGCTAGTTCCATTCTGTCTTGAACTTGGCTGCACCATACTGATGAAGACCAATAGTCAGAAACACGTGTCTACGGTTTGCCCTTCAGGCTTTTTTCTCTCTTTTTTTTGCGGTATTTCCCAATAACCCCTTTTTTTCTGTTAATTCTTCACCGCACTAAACCTTTTCATGTTTAGTTTCCTTGGGCTAGGATGCATCACCATGATGGCTATAACTGCCGCCGTGGCGACGCTAATAACTTCCCTGTAATCACAGGGATTGTTGGCCGAAGCCACAAATGTGTGGTTGGCCACTTGAGTGATCTCCTGTTTGTTTTTTATTCCATCGCTAGTTCCATTCTGTCTTGAACTTGGCTGCACCGTACTGATGAAGACCAATAGTCTACGGTTTGCCTTTCAGGCTTTTTTCTCTCTTTTTTTTGCGGTATTTCCCAATAACCCCTTTTTTTCTATATATATATATATATATATATATATATATATATATATAACTTTAACAATATATTGGTATTAAAACTTACCTTATAAAATCAGAGGGAATTTACGATAGATAAAAATTATTAAGTACATCGGATGACCAAGAGATATTAAAAATTAAATCAACTTGATTCGTTGACATCTAAATTAAAAATAAATCTCCAAGGCGAATAAAAAAAAAGAAGACGACAAATGACATTTGAGTAGAGGTGAATGTGTCAAAATAACCAATAACGATTCCAACCGTTACAGTTGATAGAAATCAGTTGATAATTAATCTAAATGATAATTCTTCTAGTAGCAGTTCTTCAGATACTTAGTAACCGGTCTAAAATGACAAAAGGATTTATTATAATGTTTTATTATTTATACGCTATTATCAAATAAACATCATATTGGAGTTGGAAAATGTTTACCTGTTTGTCCTGCTGAAATAAAATGTCCACATTTTGTAGTTCATTAAATGTTAAATACACAAAACTGAATTTATTTTTCTTCATTAGTTAAAATTTGAGTAATTTTTCCATACCTAGTCGCATATTATTTAATAAAATTAATAAAACCTCGATCGTCCCTTAGTGTGACTCTGTAAAAGCAGCCTCGTCAGAGAGATCACGTGTACAATGTGTGATAATGTTTTCGAGCACTCCATCGCTTAGATGGACCGAGAGGTTGTTTTACCGACAGCGCGTCGCTCGACGCAACGCAATCGCATCACGACGCGCGACGCTGCTACTCTGAACAAGGCATTATGCAAATCGTTACCCTCTAACACGGTTGTTATAAATAATTGATAATCTACTTATATAACTACTGCTCTAATCAATTTTAAATTTGAGCGTGTTATCCTGTATAATTTTCAAACCTTTTTACTAAAGAAAAATTAAAAACGTTACAGTTTTTATTATTTAACAGCATGCAGGAACGTTATTTTCTTACAGGATGGAAAATGCAACAAAAAAAAATAGACGAAATTTAATATTACCTATACATCCTAAAACTATCAACACGACGTTCACTCCACGGGATACATTAAAACCAATTAACCCTGTATGCATATACAATAATTACGCGACGTGCTGTAAGACGGCGGCGCTCGACGTGATAGGTAAGCGAAGGCAAGCCCCCTAATAAAAGACGCCAACTTAATGCCATGTCATTACATTACGAGTTTAATATAAAATTGAATTAGGGGCTCATCATGCAAAATTAATCATCTTGTTCTGCTAGTATAACACGGATGCAAGAAAAAGAAGTTTCAATTTCAGTCTTAACTCCATCGCTGACAACAGGGTCTAAACTCAATATCTTGATAATTGAATATTAATAATCTGTAAGGTCAGTATCGTTACAATTTAGTTAAACTAATTTTTTTTATAAATAATAATTGATTTAGGTTTGAAAAGATTAATTACTATGGGGTTAGACTAACTGCGTTACACCTTTTTAAATAATATCTCAGAAATCGGTTTCAAAGTGTATTTTAGGAAAAATCCGCCGACGGTCGAACGGGCTATTTTTTTTTTTTTTTTTTTTTTTTTTTTTAACGATTTTAGACCTTCTGAAACACATTTCAAAATACTTTTTTTGCCCTGCAAACGCTATAAAATATTTTTTTCTTACCTTAAAACTATTAAAATGTGTCCTCCAATTTCGATGTTGAAAAAATTTGAACTACATCATTTTGATTAATTTCTTGTTATAGAAACTGCTAAATAATAACACTAGACCATCCATAATGCAATAAACCATCCAAATTTTTTCATAAACAGTATTATTTTCTTAATTTACGACCAAGTTACATTTTATCAAAATGATACAAATTTCATAACCGCAATTACAATTGACTTCCGCAGTGTGACATGTGTCTAAAAGAAATACAATGTTGCCATATCAATTATGTATTACATAGCAATGGTAATTTTTACCTATGCCCTGCGTTGTACCAGGCCAACCAATTGCCTTCGGTATCAAAAAAATTATATAAAACTAACAATTTAAAAAATACCCATATCAAGATCTTCTTCCTCATCTAATAATAAGAAAATATACAATAAGAAAAGGAAGAAAGGACTTCTAGTAAGGTGGCGGCTTCGCCGCCACCAGAAAATTTTTAAACCATACCTGGCTACGCCTACCGGCATAAACTCCAACGGCCTGGACACAGCTTAAATTGAAGAAAAAACCTATTTTAACCTAACCAACCCTCATTAGCATCTGGCCAGTGAACCTCGATCACAACTTTAAACGAATATGTTTTGTATCGTGGGCATCTAATAATAAGAAAATATACAATAAGAAAAGAAAGAAAGAACTTCTAGTAAGGTGGCGGCTTCGCCGCCACCAGAAAATTTTTAAACCATACCTGGCTACGCCTACCGGCATAAACTCCAACGGCCTGGACACAGCTCAAATTGAAGAAAAAAACCTAGCCTAACCTAACCAACCCTCATTAGCGTCTGGCCAGTGAACCTCGATCCCAACTTTAAACTAACGTGTTTTGTATCGTGGGCATCTAATAATAAGAAATTATACAATAAGAAAAGGAAGAAAGGACTTCTGGTAAGGTGGCGGCTTCGCCGCCACCAGGAAATTTTTAATCCATACCTGGCTACGCCTACCGGCATAAACTCCAACGGCCTGGACACAGCTCAAATTGAAGAAAAAAACCTAGCCTAACCTAACCAACCCTCATTAGCGTCTGGCCAGTGAACCTCGATCCAAACTTTAAACTAACGTGTTTTGTATCGTGGGCATCTAATAATAAGAAATTATACAATAAGAAAAGGAAGAAAGGACTTCTGGTAAGGTGGCGGCTTCGCCGCCACCAGAAAATTTTTAATCCATACCTGGCTACGCCTACCGGCATAAACTCCAACGGCCTGGACACAGCTCAAAATGATTTTTTTTTTTTTTTAATATTAGGTAAGTACCGACATGCCGTAATTAACGTACAATCATCATGAAATAAAATAAAAAGACGGTTATCTGTGATTACTACAAATGTTTTTACTTTGAGATCCAAATTTACCTGCTGGCCAGACACTATGTAATTTTTCAGCCAACTTTCACTAACCGAATTATTTCCTGACTTATATGTTTTCTTACTCGATTTGGCAACACCGCATTTATAGAAACTAGATACATCAATTGTCATTAAAAATAATTTTATGTTTATTTATTTTTCTAATAAACTTAAAATGAAAAATAAGAAAATTTGATCGTTTATGAAAAAACTTGGTACGGTTTATTGCTCTATGAATGGTCTTATATTGATATTAGCCGTTTCTACAACAATAAATCAGTGAAAATGGTTTATTTCACATTTGTTTTATGATGGAGACCGGACAACAGATTTTAAGGATTTTCAGGATTTTAAGGTAAAATTTTTTTTTTAAATAAGTGTTAGCGGACCCAAAATTGTTATGCATAGTTTGTTTCCAAGTGTCTAGAAACTCTTTATAACATTTCAATAGTTATATCCGCCGTTCGAGTGTCGGCGTATAATACCGTATTTTATAGTCTGTCAAATTTAAACCCTGTCAATACAGGAGTTCCAGAAGAATCAATTCTAGGATTATTGTTACTTTTTATCCTATACATAAATGATTTATCCACTTTTATGAACCCTATTTGTTTTCTGCAACTTTGGTAACCTACCTTCTCAATCGCCGTCGCAGAAAGAAGGGTTGTTTTCCAATCAGTTGGTGCAAAAGACTGCATAACAAACAATTTTATAATTATACTAGCTGACCCGGTAAACGTTGTTTTGCCATCTATATTATTTCCTAGGAAATATTTTTTTAGTTCAATAAACAAAACTATCTTACTATAAGTGTGCGGGGGTGTTCTTATAATCGAAAGCGTTGTAAATAATGAAAGTATGCTTTATTTAGGTAAGGTTAATAAATTAATCTTTATTAAAGTAACGAATATATTTTAAATTACAATTCTTGATAGCTATCTAAATAACAAAAATAATTATTCATATTTGTACTATCAATTATGGCAGTTGAAAAAAATAAAGATTAATCTCTCAGCGCAATTTGTGCTCGGGCCGGAAAACATGTAGTCAGTACTTTAGAAAATAGTAGACGAATTTGTGTTCCTGTGCAGTTTAATGCTGCTTCAGCAAGCATACTGTCCCAATGATTGTCGTCTTCCAGCAAGCCTAGAGCAAGGCATGCATCTTTATACGTTGGATACTGTTGTCTATCTACCTTACGTATATCATGAAATGACAATGGTCCGGTGACATTAACCAACAACAGTCGCAGATAGAAGTACTCAGTCTGCCTTGGATTGACTGTATATATACGACCCAAACTATTTGATTTGAATAAACCGGGGCACGCATAAACTGGTATCCCTTGCTTGCAAGGCATCCATTTGTTCGATTGAGCCCTTGTAAAATATCGTGGAACTTCAGAATAGAGCAGTGTTTGTGCAAAGGCACCAAAAGCATCCGCACCATTGCACAGTTCAAAAAATTCGGTGAGCGTAGTTTTTGGTGGATTTATAGCACGATCAAGAGCTGTATCGTTATTCGTGAAATATATGCGCTGGCCGTTTTTAAGATGGACAGCTAAATGGATAACTGCTGGATTCCGTTCATGAATTGGGAAACCGAAAATACGCCAGACAGCTTTATTGGAACTGATATACTGGCCAATTGGTAATTCGTAATTTCATCATTTTGATTCAACGGAGGAGCATTTACATTAGTATTTTCAATTTTAAATACAGCCATATTACTTCCTTTATTCACATACTTGCAAATATATTTGATACTCTTCACCGAACTGCATGACTCAACATTAATATGAGCATTGAATGTTTTGCTCAGCAGAGATGAATATGTTAACTATAAAGTTTTTAATTAACAAATAAAAAATGGGGGTTGATCGTAGAGGGGTGAAAATTAAGGGTTGTATGTATTTTTGTATGGTGTATCATAAAAAAATAAATACAAAAAAGTTTGTCTAAAAAATAAAAAAAAATTAGGGGTGGACCACCCTTAACATTAAGGGGGATGAAAAATAGATGTTTTCCGATTCGTAGACCTAACCAATATGCACACAAAATTTCACGAAAATCGATCAAGCCATTTCGGAGGAGTTTAATTACAAACACCGTGACACGAGAATTTTATATATTAGATGACCTTACTTTAAAATTAGGGTAATTTATGGGTAACAAAAGCCTTTAAAAGGGCGCCTTTTTAATTACCCTTACAAGGTAAATTATATTACCAATATATTATTCTTATATTACCTACTACCAATAAAAACGTATATTGGCTTAACCTTTAAATGACTCTTGTGTTGTTCCTTAAATTTCTATTTACTCTTTAGTGACTGATTTATAGCCTTTATGTAACTTATTGTCTTACCCTGGGTTTATAAGGCTTGACACTTACTGCCTTCGATCATGTGTGGACTGTATGACTATGTTCGAAATATGTTACCTGGGGGTGAAGGCCTTATGCTCCACCCTGTAGCCTCTGGAAGATACTCTCGAAGTTCTGGTTGATACACTGATTTTATTCAAATGAAACTATCACCTTATATTTGAAATTGATATATTCACGGCTTACTGATTCCACATTTTACATATTAATACTTGGTTACATAAATTATTAATTGATTACATGTTACAACTTTTTAAATCAAATCGCACAAATGCTTTTACTTAAATTTCGGCTTGCTGCCAGCGTTGAAAAGAATTTTGATGTGTGTTTTGTTTGACTGTCGAAACGAAAGTGAAGTTGTTCTTTCCGATGCAAGCTCGCTGGCTCGCAACGGTTTTACCGGCTTTTTTCTCATTGGCCGTCCCAGATCGCATGATTGCGTACGTGATAATATTAACTGTTTGCGAAGACACAGGTGTCTTTGCGACATAGCAGGTGTCTGGCGGTCATTTGAAAGTCAAGCGTGTTGTTTCAAGTTTAGATAATTAGTTTATACAGGGAGTGACTATTCAGTACTTTATTATTTTTGTTTGCTAAAAGCGGAGGTTTATACAGGGGGTGTCTACCTAGTATTTAGCAGATAGGACATGTTGAATGTAATTTCAACACTTATATTTTACCATTTTGTAACTTTTAAATGACTCCTAATTGATTCCTAAGTGACTACTAAGTGACTCCTAAGTAACTATTTAGTTACCCTGTAAATTACTCTTAACTGACTCTTTAGTTACTCTGTAAAAAAAATAAATTACGGGCTTTTTTTTTAATTACTTTTTATTATACCTACATATTTATTTTATACTAGTGAATTTTCAAAAACAGCTCTATTATCATGCATCGACTATCGACTCCGGGATTCGAACCTACTTCTGTCACATCTAACACATGTAACAACTGCGCCGTAGACCACTAGACCACCTGGCCCTTGCTGTATAGATATGCAAAACTAATAGATCAATATATGTCATGCTTCGGTAATTGAAAGGTAACTTGCGGATAATTTAAGACTGACTGCACCAACCATTTATTCATTGTTTGTTTCTCAGGATGTGTTAGTTTATACAGTAAGTATTTTTTATTTTTTTAAGAGAAGAATGCATAAAGATGAAACCGACGTACTTGCTTTGTCTGCATATTATAATTAAAGATAATAAATAAATAAATATAATAAGTGAGTGGTACAGTTATTATGAACAACTTTTTAGATGTGACAATAAAAAAATCGATACTTAAACCTACCTCGAAATCATATTTAGAAAGTGAATCTACCTATCTAAATATTTGCACTTTACAAAATTTAGTCCAGTCAATTAGTCGAAATAGTATTAAGTGGTACAATAATTTATTCTCTATAATAATGATTTTTGTATTTTTAGTATATCTAAAAATTCAAACGAATCATCAGATTGCAATTTGCATTATGTTATTTTAACAATAAAATCACCGAAGATAAATCATATAGATATCCATGGCGTCCAGCCCATTGGATTGACGGAAATGTAATATATTATCCAAAGGAAACTGTTGGAAAATCAACAATTGAGGTATTAGTTAAAGCTGGTCGGTTTGACATATGCGACAAAAAAAGTGGAATACGCATTTATTAAAAAAAATTTATTATTGGAATATGGCTAATAATTATGTTAATTCAAAGCATGGAACAGACGATACGGATGATACCGATGAAAACTTAAGATTACGTTGCTCAGCAAAAGTCATAATACAGTTAAGGGTAAATTATATTTTACTCATACCTATGCAAATAAATTTAATTAATTTATATAATTTCAGCATCTAAATCTTCAATTCCAAATAACGATTTTTTGATAGAAAATAATAGTGAATCTACTGAATCTCATAATAAGGCACACCCAAATTCTGAACGTAAAACATTTGTAGAAAATAATGAATGCTCTGATTCAAACTCGATTTTTAAATTTTGTAATATAGGAAGTGCATCCAATCGGCTCAAGGTTATCCCAATCATGTTCCACAGAATCATCACTTTCACTTGATGAGAGTGTCGCTTCATTATATTCAGTTAATTCTAACATATCATCATGATCATTATTATTATCATGATCACTATTATTTTCATTATCATTATTATTATTATCTTGATCATCACTATCTGAAAGAATATATTAACAAATTACATGTGATATACCTAGTAGAGAAGTAATATATGCCTTCGTCAGACAAAACCTGTTCGTTTAATTTCAAGCTCGTCATATTCCACATATCTTTATATTTTTTTATTTTCCGGTAGTAAGACCCACACTTTTTTCTTTTCAAGTTTCTAGAAAAATTATTCATATTGACTAAATACGATCTGCGTTCTTTTTAGTACTAACTTTACTGTTAAAAACATTACCTTCCATCACTTATATTACTCTTAGGTTATCCATATACTTGCGCTGATTTATTTTTGGGTTTTACCCTTATATTACCATTTTTTGACCCTTAGGTTTCCGTTTTTTTTTAAGTAACATAATAGTAAGTAATTTAACGCAAAAAATTAAATTTTCTTATTGTGACCTTCTTCAATAATTATTTTTGTTTGATACCATTATACTACGATTAAGTTACCTAATGAAATCTAGTAACATAACGGTAATTTATTTTTCTTTAAATGAGACATTATATTACCACTTACCCTAAAATGACTATTAAATAACTAGGTTTTAAATGACCGAACAATTTTTTTAAATAACCCATATGTTACCATATTGTTGTTTTTAAATTAACGTTAAAATAATTGACTCATAATTACCCATTATACTTTTGTTCAATAACCACTCACCGTAAAACTACTATTATTTACCTTTTATATGACCAAATTAACTGACTCTGTGTTTGCTGGGTGTAATTGTGCATCTAGTAGAATCGCATGACGTGTGTAAATAAATGGCCAGAAATTAAATGTTTTCCAAACAACAACTTCATTTACACTAAACGTTTTTCCGTTTACAATGAGTTTATCTATTGACAAAATCAACTCCCCTCCGTATCTATAAAAATTGACATGACAATGTTCATTTTTATTATAGCAGCTAAATAAAACAAAAAATGATGAAAAATTATAAAACAATTAAAAATTTAAAATTTACCGCCTGTCATTATTTGAAACTGACTAAAAAGTCATCCCTTAACTTATATATTTCAACGCTTATTACTCAAATTGGGTTCCAATAAATTTAAACTTATTTTAGAGTATATACACCTATATCTAAATTTCCCCCGTGCACGTTACTTTGTCTAATTTTGTATACAGCTGTATATTACTAAATAAGTCTTAATTATAAATACTTACAATTATTTACAAATTGTCACAACCGTTAGCATGGATTCATTCTTCTGTCTTTCCTACAGAATCGGACTCTTCCATTGAGAGATCAGTAAGAGAACGACCATGTGATTTCAAATCCTGAATGGGATATGTTCCAGCATTAGAACCGTCATCGTAGACAAGTTTTTCTTCTCATCGTACATAACTTGTACTTTGGTGCAAGTTCTTTCGCAAAATTATCTGATGCTTTCGACAAAACTAATTTTTTTCGTCAGACTTTATCGCCGACGAAAAAATCTTTTTCGCGTCTCCTCAGAATAAAAATATTTGATTTTTCTTCTAAGCTGAACTAATTTTCTGTTAAACTTCATCATAAATATCTTTCAAATTTCCCAAATTATTACCCCAGTATTATCTACTACCTAAATCTAATTCTATGTTTGCCTCATTAATAAAATGATTTAAAATATCGAACGAAGCTGTTGCTCCAGCTTCAAGTTTTATTGATTTGCATGAAAGTAGCTAATGCTGTACATCTTCGGCTATATCACCAATTCGGCGGGCAACAGTATCATTTAAAAAAGGTATGGATTGCAATTGTTTGTCAAAATTATCTCCAATCATAGTTTCTACAATCTTGTGAGACTTTTTACATCTGGCTATTTTATATGAATCGTTGTAAGAGGCAAGTAAAACTTTTTCATTCGTAGACAAAATTTTTTTTAGGAATGTTTGCTCTTCATATGATTTTAATTTGTACACGCCAAATTACCTGAGCGGCTTTATAAGACCAAGTCAGACAAATTTTTTCATATACTTTACCTTGTGCGATAGGACATTTTCGCGCTAACTCTTCGTGAAGTTGTCGTTCTGGCGGCCCTAAGAAAGTTAATACATTTACCTGTAGTTTTAATGTGAAGCGACGATTTTTTATATTGAATAACGATAACATTTGTCGGACAAACATCACGGGGCTTTGGGGGGCGTCCGACGCCCTCAACATGTCGCTGTGGCGTCCCTAAGAAAATTAATACATGTATCTGTAGTTTTAATGGTAATCCTTGGTTGTTTGTATGTAAAATTTGTCGGACAAATGTCACGGGGCTGCGGGGGGAGGGGGGGGGGGGGAGTTGATACATGTAGTTTAACTAGGAGTAAAGTGGATTGTCCTATATTTGGAAACCTAACCGATTTGAACCCTCGTATGTTGCCGACAATTGAACAAACTAATATGTTATTTATGAGCTAAAATATTAAAAATATAATGGAAAAGAAGAAGTTTTTTAGGAGATTGGAAAGAGGCATCAATTCCAACTGTTTCAAAAGAGAAGAATTGTGCAATTAATACGAAAGTATGAAAAATATAAAAATTTAATTAGATATTGTAATGTGAGCCATTTCATTATTCAGTCATGCTCTAATCCTCCAAGTCCCTCTCTGTCTTATTTGGCCTTTGAGGCTCAACTTGTCCGATTATCATAAATAATTAAACCGCTTAAGACCAAACATTTGTGACGACTATGGCGGAGGTGCTTTCGATTACTATTCGAGAAAGAACGGGATGTTTTTAGTTTTTTCCAAATATAACATTATATTTCTAGTTTGGCGGAGGAGCATTCTACAACCTTCACCATAATTTTAAATTTGTATATAAATATTAGTGGAGGATGAACGCAGGCAATCAGTCAAATATGGACAGTGAAGAGAAGTAGTGAACAGTTTAAAGACATTCGAAATATACAGTATGTCCCCCTAAGTTGGAATCATACGGGAAACTTTTTTATTATTAATTTTAGGAAAAAAGTTATTCTTCATAAAAAGTTCTGCATTATTTAAAACCTAGAATACAGTCATTAAATGTCAAATTTTTTTCAGTGGTATACGAGGTTTGTCAAAAAATATGAGTTTTTACTGATAAAATTTGATATGTGATGGTTGTATTTTAGATTTTAGACCATGCTCGACTTTTTATAAAGAATAACTTTTTTCCCAATATTAATAATAAAAAAAGATTTTCATATGCCGCCAATTTACGTAGACAGTTAGTGGCATAAGAAAGCTTTTTTATTACTAATTTTAGGAAAAAAAGTTGTTCTTTATAAAAAGTCGAGCATGGTCTAAAACCTAAAATACAACCATCAAATATAAAATTTTGTTAGTCCTATAAAGAATAAAGGTACTTTACTCTTGAGTAAAACTCATTTTGACAAACCTCGTATACAACTGAAAAAATTTGATATTTGATGACTGTCTTCTAGGTTTTAGATAATGCAGAACTTTTTATGAAGAATAACTTTTTTTCCTAAAATTAATAATAAAAAAGTTTTCCATATGATTCCAACTTAGGGGGACATACTGTGTATAAATTAGAATAGTAGTGTTATAAAATAAATAATTGTTTAAATAAATTATTAATAAATAGACTGCTGTTTAAAATAAACAAACATCACAATATCCTAGAAGCAAGCGAAACAACAGCTATGACGAAAAAATAAATGCATTTGAAATGGAGTGTCATAAATTGAAACGTCCTTTACAATGGTATATTTGCCAACTACACGCCAACGAATTGCCATTTAGACATTTATTCCAACATTTAGATGGCAGCACAGTGGGACCTCGTCAATATTCTGATGAAATCGGAAATCTTTAGAAAAATGTGAACGTCTTAAAATTGTAAATTTACCCCAATAAAATGTGAGTTTCCAAATATAACTGTATTGTCTGGAGATATAAGTTCTGATCAATCATATTTGTAAAAAATTTGCAATGTAATATCAAGCAGCAATTTCTCATCAAATTTAGCACACCGTAATCCTGGGAAATAAGCGAACTCTAGATGGCTCACAATGGTAAATCGTGTTCTTCGGCTCTATGCTGGAACGGAAAAGCCAATATCAAGCCTTACGGATATGGCCGAACTCATAATTAAAGTGTATGCCCCAATGTGGTTGAATAATAAACTAAATTTTAGTTTCACTAGTGGTAGTTTGCATGTATTTAAAACGATTAAACTGTCACGGTATTTAAAAAGTTTTATTGATACGGTAATCTAAAGAAACGCGTATTTGATACACCCCGAAAATATTATTTTGTGTATGCTAACAGACACTCGTGAATTCGTTCGGGAACTATCTCTACGAATAATCTTAATAGCTAGAGAAAATAGTCGAGAAACCGTTGAAGTAAGACACTTTGTGGTAGGTACCAGAAATTAATTTCAGTACTACATACCTCTTTAAGTTATTTTACTGAAATGAGTGCGATGTGACACCACCTCCTGTTTTAGGAGATTTTACTTATGACAATCTTAGGGACCTTTCAAACGAAACCGAAATTTTATACTTTGATTTTCCGAAGTTCCCTTGCCATACTCAATTCGTGGAGAGCTGCGTAAAATTAGTAACAGAGCCGTCTTCTTAAGTAATTGGTCCAGAATCAAGAGACGGCTTTATTTGCTCATGAATAAAATCATAAGAAATTATACCAACATTTGAAAGTAAACGACATTTTAAAATTCAGTAAATGTTTTCTTTTATTACCTACTATATTTTTTTTGTACTTGATGTGTTAGCTTTTTATATTTGATTTGTAAGCTTTTATGTTTGATTTATTTAGGTACTTTTTATCATTTTTTAAATAAATGTATTGTTTAGTTGTAATCGTGTAATATTTATTTATTGTTCAAGTAATTTTTACCTTATCTTTTAAAGACAAAAGGATTAAAGATTGGTTAAAAGGGGTAGTAGAGGGCTGAAAATGTGGATTTGGAAATTTTTAAAAAACTACGAAAAGTAAGAACAGCAGAACGCAAATTTTGATAAATATTGTAAACATAATTTTTATATCGGCCCAGTCTAATGAACGTGGGGTTTTAATGTTTTTTATTTAACAAAATCACATTTTCCGGACACAAATCGCGTAATTTTTATCAGAGAGCTCTTTGTAACAAGTTGAGTGTTAGCCTATTGTGCCATCATCCGAAGTCTCTGGCATAATACTTTCGAGTATTTAAATAAATTTTATACGATGTCAATATTTCTGGAGTAAATTTTTTAACCTCCCTTTTCGGCTGAACTTTAGGATCTTCACTCCTAAGAACGCACAAAAAACACAAGTGAATATCCATTTTTTCTCACACACGTGGCTTGCAAAGGCCAAACACTGATTCCTTTTCGTAAATACCCGAAAAATAATTACAAAACAGATCTTGTTTTTATTGTATCATGCACTCAACAAACTGTTTTGTTTGCCGTGTTACCCGTGACAACAACAAATGACTCATACTTTTGTATCCGTGGCCAACTTATCAACTATTGTATTTGATTTGTTTCGATCACCTAGAATTGAGATTAAAAACAAGAGTGGAGGTAGTTGATTTTAATCCTACCCCAGTCTTGCGCATAGGAGTTTTCCCCCCCTGGTGGAAAGTAATACTCTGTCTCTTTAGACAGAAAGTTGACAATTTAATAGATCTATATAAAAAAATCATGAAAAAGTTATATTAAAAGTCAATGTTACCTAAATAGTTAAAAAAAAAGAAGAAATTAATTTATTGTGAATACCTATTAATTATTCATTCAAAATTGTTTATAAAAACTGAAACTATCAAAGGACATTTCATTTAAAATAGCCTAAAACATTTTATGATTATATAGTTCTAGAATAAAAAAGCTGTTATTATTTAATGTCAGTTTGCTTAATATCGCTATTTGTGTATTAAGAGCCAAACATTAATACTTTGTTACTTGAGACAGAAAGTTGCCAGCGCCACGCGTAGCGGAGCGCGGCAATCTATCGAAAGCGGCAACAAAGTTTTTGCTCAAAATGCACACATTATTTTTTCTACGATCACACTTTTTTATGAAATAAATATAAAAACTAAAAATTTGTCACATAATATGTTGCCTGTACCTACGTTAATCATGAAAAAAAGCAGTTGATATTCAAAGTCCATGTTAACTTGGTTAATATAACAAATAAACATGTAACTACGTACAAATAACTTGAAAATCATTTATTAAAAATAAATATTGTATTATAGGTAATTTAAATTAGGCGAGGAACAAAGCTGTCACTTAATGTCAGTTCACAAAAACGTCATCTTTGCGGTTGGATTTCGAAGCGCAAAAGCTTACTTTGTATAATGATCGTAGAAAAACTAACATTTAACACCCTATAAAATAACTATTAAAGATAAGAATTTGAGATAATGGTGACTTATGATCAGCAGGACCATAATATATTAATTTAATGAAATTCTTACAAATTGCTATGTGTAAGAATAGTGCGGGTCCCTTTATTATTGCACATTTTTGTTTCATAAAAATTGATAACCAGATTTTTTCAGATAGATAATGGAGCATTTTATAGACTACAGAGCCTTTTTCTCATTTCACATATTTGTATTCAAAATTTTCGGATTTTGGAGACCGGACTCCAAAATGAACTTAAAAGAAATTTACCTCTTGTACACATTCATCGGCACAACTACATGGGTATTATTTCTTCTTTCGCAATTCATTTACATGTTAAAAAATTTGGACAACGTTGATGAACTCATGGCTGTGTCCTACTTGGCTGGACCATTCATTGTAAACCTGTTCAAAATGTTGACAATATACAAGAACATGGATCGCATTAAAGTGTTGATGAGGAAATTAAATGATCCATTGTTCCAGCCAAATTCCAAAAAACAGTTCGAGATCGCGATGAAAACCAAAAAGTTTCATAGGAATTTTTTTTATTTGTGTTTGTATCTTGGCGTGCAAACTTATTTATGTTTCATGATACTGCCTTTTTTGAGGGAGAAGAAAACCATACCAACTCAAGGTAAGTTTGTCAGTACAATAAAGAGGAATCTTATAAAGTGCTACTTCTTTTAAGGCTGGTTTCCATTTGAATACGACCACTCTCCAAACTACGAAGCGGTCTACTTATTCCAAAATTGCGTGGTCCTATGGAACGATATAATCTGTCTCAATCTAGATACTTTTTCGTCTGGTTTGCTAATGCAGATCAGTATGCAATGCGATTATCTGTGTAATAGTTTGAATAATCTTTCATCCTACAGAGCAAAAGATGGAATTTTAATAATCAAAGAGGATGCCGGTTTCAAAATGAGAATGGCAAGTTCTGAATTCAGCCAAGCTATGATGGAGAATTTAATTATTTGTATCCAGCATCATAAGAAGATTAAAAGGTAGATATTATGTCTCATATATTTTTTACTTCGCTGTGACCAAAACGAATATATTAAAAAATTCTCCTATACATATAATGTGTGAATGTTCTCTATGTTACACCCTGACCAATTTATTTAGTTTAATATCTACAGAAGTAAGCGGTTACTACAATCACTTCTTAGGCAAAATTAATTTCTAAGCTAATAATTCCCCACATCGACAGGTAACCGTCTTGCTGAGCTACTGCCAAGAAGGCAACCAACCAAATACTTTTTGGAACTGGCCCTTCTGTTGGCCTTACAAAATCGGTAGTGACAGGCCTAATAAAAGAAAATCCAAGGAAAGCTGGAATAAAACACGAACTTAAGAGTTGCCAGGGAACTTTTAATTTATCCTGACAACATTGCAGCAAACAAATATGACTAGACAGAATCTGCGCCAGATCACAGTCATTCTGACTAGACATTGCAAAGTACGGAAGCATCTTCATATCGTTTGTCTCTTAGAATCCGCACTCTGCAGGGGGTGCGAACAGTAAGATGAGACCATCGAGCATATTATCTACAATTGCCTGACGCTCTCATTTATTAGAATATTTGTGTTCAGAGAGTATTGACTAACACCGCCCGATATAAGAGAAGCACCTCTTGGCGATGTTGTTAACTACAGTAATCTATAAGCTGGCTCACGAGCTGAGAGGTGCTTATCCTCTTAGGAGGATGCCCAATGGGTCCAGTGAGGCATAAAAGCCGTGGGGTAACCTATGCACCACAAGTTTCAGATAAAAATAATGATTAGCACTTCGAAGATATAGCTATTTTACATTGTGGAAAATGAAACCGCAGGAAAAAAAGACCAGCTCCGACTTGCTTCCACTCATAGATGCTTCTCACTCACACCTGCACGGGGCCATTTAGAGTAATTCTGCTACGTAAATGCAATTGCGCTAAAGGCCGTCTCACTTAACAAACGAAATTGATATAAATCATGTTACTTTCTAAACCAATATTTAAATTATAGATGCCTACCTTCTAGTTGGTAACATATTTGATAGATAGTAGCTCAGTTGTTTTAACATTCACTATCTCATCTCTCTATAAAAACTCATTCATTTTATTTTAGTTTTAATTTGTTTAGTCTTGATTTTATAAAATTTTAATAATGTTTGTTTATTCGTAACTTGTTATGTTCATCGACTGTACATTTAATACTGTATAGGCTGTATAGGCTAGTGGGCCTTGATAAAACTCGTTTTAACATTATAGTTGTAGAAACGTCTATCACTGCATATTTCTAATAAATATAAAAATTAATTCTTAGTGTACATAATATGTTTAAAAACTACTGTTGATTTAGTTTTGTTATATAAAATAATACTGAATTCATATAAACGATTCAAACTGTATTACAGGATTAAAACGTATTTATAATAAATAACTTTGAATATAAGAAGGTATGTATAAAGTACCGAAATTTAAAACAAAATAATCAAATTATATTTAAGTATAGATAATTTTCAGGTAGATAAATGTATCTTACTTGAACTAGTTGAACTTTCGGTGTGGTTTTCTTTAACTATTAATTATTCTTTATCGATCTTACGTCGATTTTCTTAAATGTACGTTTTTGAGGTGATTTTCTCCCAAAACTGAGAAGAGGTACAGAAGTATGACGCAAGCCTTCATGTTATATGTGTTTTTATTACCTAGCTAAGCTAGAAATTTATTTTATAATGATAATTTTTAAAATCGTTTGTTTACTAAATTATACAGATGACAAAGGTGACATCTGAAAAGTGTCTCTCACTCTTGTGGTGTAACATACAACAAGTTTTGGAGTAAACCAGAAGTCTATTATGTACAGAAGATGTAATGAGAACTTTTCTCCTTCTCTTTCTTTTAAGAAAAGAGATAAATACCTCTTTTATTTACCTAATTAATTCATGCAATAAGTAATTTAAGGAGTTAATTAATTGAACAGGAAATACCTGAATAAGGTTAAATCTGACATTCTTCTTGAGGACTTCGAGATATGCACATGACACATTAGTAAATTGTTATTGTGATATATTTCGTAAGCTCAGTTATCGAACCTATTAAGGGTTGTTCAAGTTTGAAACTCTCCAACTGATTGGATTTTAAAGGGTTCATAGCGAATAGCTTAAAAGCTTACTTAAGTAGTCCTGTTTAAAAAAAAAGACATTCACTCGAAGAGATGTAATGATCTAGTAAGAGATTTCAACAGTTTTTAATAAACACCACCTATTATATTTTAGTTATAAACAAAAACATATTCATAAAGACTTACTTATTTCAGGCCTTCTTTATATTTCTGTTAACTGCATTTCCACTTAATTCAAAATAGGCATTTATATTTCCTTGTATATATCAAGTATTTCTATTGTTTTTTTTTATATGAAACTTGTAAATTGTTAACAAAACATATTTATGTAATTAGTCCTCAAATTTATGTGAAACTCGAAGTATATTTATATACCAAGAGGGGTTAATTTAAATTAACAACATGTAATACTTGCATGACAAGGTGCAAATTTGTTGATTTATGTCGTAATTCATATTCTAATTAAATATCGCATTATTTTTATTTTTAACCTAATAATTTTATTTGTCTAAAGTCAAATTCATACTTTATAGTTAGACCTACCATATATACAGTGTGTCGCATTTAAGATGAAGACACCCCTATATTATGGCTATCTAAATAAATACAGATTTGAAATTTTGCACAGTCATAAAGGGTGATGGTTTACATTTTTTAAGATACTCAACTGAAATTTAAATTTTAAACGCGGCCTACTGCGAATCCACAAACAGGGTCAATTTTCGATATTTTTCTTCGCGTTAGAGATATCAGAAAAAGTTATTCATGATAAAATTCGAATTTTTAGTTTTTTCATTAGTTTGGTCAATACACAAAAAATTATTAAAAGTTGTTTTTTTTATTCGATAAACTAGTGTGCCATGATTGACATTAATGATTTCACAAGTGTCAAAATATTTCTATCCATGGCACGCTAGTTTATCGAATAAAAAAACAACAACTTTTAATAATTTTGTGTATTGACCAAAATAATGAAAAAACTAAAAATGCGAATTTTATCATGAAATTTGGTATGTGGGGTTAGAATAATATTCGGAACAACTTTTTCAAATAACTTTTTCTGATATCTCTAACGCGAAGAAAAATATCGAAAATTGACACTGTTTGTGGATTCGCAGTAGGCCGCGTTTAAAATTTAAATTTCAGTTGAGTCTCTTAAAAAATGTGAACCATTACCCTGTATGACTGTGCAAAACTTCAAATCTGTATTTATTTAGATATACAAAATATAGGGGTGTCTTCATCTTAAATGCGACACACTGTATATCGATCTGCAAATTACATTGTGAAACTTTTCAACAGTGTCTTATTTTAAGTGCCTACCATCCTCTAGATTTATTTTATTAAAGAATGTTATAAGTGTTAATTTAATGTTAAGAAAGATCAAAATAATTGCCAAAACATTTTTGCAAACCCTATTTCTGGAATTTCGCAAAACATTCAAAGTAAAATGAGCATTACCCTCACCTCACCCTCACTTTGTTTTTATCTAATGCATCCTTCAGTGTTCTGTTATAAAAGCCTTAAAATGCCGCCTTACTTTGTTGGCAAGTCCCTCTTTTTTTCAGAACATGCATCTCGTGCCGTTTTTAAAATACTGGTTGATGTTGATTTTAGAAATTGCAAATTGACTAATTCAACCGGCAATAACTTACCTGAAAACAAATATAAACAGGACCGCCAATGGGTTTGCTGTGGCCCGTCGGCAAAGTTTTCATCCAGCGCCACGGTGGCCCTCAAAAAGAAATAGCTTGTTGCCATTATATTACTTTTGGTATTTGTAAGTCAAAGCTCTAAATTTCTTAGCCAACTCCCGTGGCGTTTATCGTGTTAATTATGCATCCAGACATTCCTAATTATCTACAGTCCATGCATTACTTGATACGAGGAAACCTTACGCATAGACTATGACAATTTGAGAAAAGACATCATCGATCTGTGAAAGCAACTCGAACAAAAATAAATAACTATCTACTTATTACGAGATTAAAAAACACGGCGGGCGTAATTTCGGCCGGTAATCCCCTCGCCTACCTGCCAAAAGCAAAGTGCCCATCTAGTGGCATAGGTAATTTCGGCCGAGGGTAATGTTTATAATAGGATTTTGGAATATACCTGAAAATAATAATCTATCCTTTTCATATTTCCATTTCTTAGAAAAGTTAAAACATTTACATTCATCTTTCTTAATTTGATTTTCATTAATTTAACAATGTGACTACCTAATTACAAAGTACCGGACCTTTTAATATTAAGATACTAACCACTTATTTTGTGGGCGACCATGAGATAGAAAACATCTATATTACATGATGGCAGTTTCGATAGTAAAGAGTTCACGCGGTTGTGACTTGCTTATTGTAGAAAAATTTTTATTTTGTAAACAGGACGTATTAAAGAGTGGGGAAGTGCATTGGAGGTGCACCAGGAAAAATTTAAAATGTTTAGCTAAATTGTATACTGTTGGTGCCGAATATATTGTGACTAGGAGTGAGTTAACTCACAATCATGAACCAGATCAACGTTCTTTGCAGAGGAAACTTGTCACAAATGCATGCAAGCAAAAAGCCCAGGAGGACATATCGGAGAAACCTTCGAAAATTATAAAAAGGGTCCTTTCAACAAATTTACTGGACGAATTGATTACCGCGGATGTAAATCTCATAAGAAGAAATGTGTATAACAGTCGTCGTCAGCTCTTGCCAACCCTGCCTAAAGATATTCATGAAGTACATACTGTAGTTGATATGTATTCTCCTAAAACGACAACAGGTGAACATTTTTTGTTTATTAACAGTTCAGTTGATAATATCATTGTTTTTTCTTGCCAAACAAATATTACTACGTTTTATCAATTATTTACCATTCATGGCCTGGAAAATGGGCACCATATACCTCTT